TATTTTGAACATTTGTATTTTTTTTTCATTAACTTTCAATAAAAATATGTTCGGTAAAAAGCTTGAAAAGTTCATACTGAAATCCGAAAAATATAAAAAAATATATAACCTAACCTAACCTTTAAATTTGGATGACATATTTTGATACTTAAACCAAGAATAATGATTTATAATTAATACATTAACTACAGTGACTTACTTAATGTACGAGATACAATATCGACCCATACTGTACCTACAGCAGATCTGTAATCTACCATCTGTAATCTCTTTTCGCTACTGTTATAGTATTTAATAGCTGAGTTATTTAAATTCGGTACAAAATATTTACTGTTTTTTATTTATTTTAGATATATGTGAAAAACTGTGTTGTCTATACAAATAAAATATATTGTTATTTAACTATTGTATTAGAAAATAACGTACAAAATATCATTTTTTGTATGTTTTCATAAAATATGAGCAATCACCTCGCACTTTACTTACCAAGCAATTTTTCGGGTAGGTACTTATTGAAAGAAAAATAAATACGAAATATTGTTGTCTCTGGTAATATGACGTTATTACTCAAAGGAAAAACATGATTGTGATTTATAGAAACAAAATTGAATGGTTTGACTAGAATATGAAAAGAGGAAAATGTGATTTTAATGTGTGCCAAACATGAAGGTTTTGAGATAAGAAAATGCTTGACGTTGCAGATGTTCAAAACATATTAAGTTAACTTCGTTAATAAAACATATATCTTAGGAAAAACGAATATTAAAGAACTTTTTACTACCTATACTTACTGGAAATGTATGCTCGAATACTACATCAAAAATAGGTTTTCTTCAAAAAAAATTTCAGTCCAAGTTCTTTATTAAAAATATTTTTTTTTGAGAAAAGATTTAAAGACAAATTTACTATAAATTATGAGGATAATTTGATATAATGATATAAAATAAATAGTAGTTATGGAGAATAATTAATTTCAATACAACTTATTGATTCTTAAATAAAATACAATATAATATATTTTACACATTTTTGAAAATCGTATTATTTTTTAGTTTGTTCTTATTAGTTATTATTTATTAATAACTCCAATAAAATATTGTTAAAATGCTTGACTTGCAGATCAAACATTCCATAAGAAAATATAAGTTTCAAGAAAACCTATGGAAGTATTTGTTTTTTATTTGACATATTAATCACTAATAAAAATAATAAACGATTTTGAAACAATTAAGTTTGGGTAAACTGCAAAACATAATGTTAGCCAACTTTCACGACGTTTAGATAAAAAGTATTAAAAAGAGATGTTTCTATTAGTATTTAATACCTAGATTAACACTTCAAAGAAAAAATACAGGATATACATCAAAGTTTTTATGGTTAAGAGTCGAGTAAGAACTTGCACGGATTATAAAATATATAGTATAGTTTGTCAACTAGTGTACTCTTAACTGAAATTTCCTTTAGTAAATATCGGGTTTCAACATTTCGTATCTTAATTAAAATAAATGATTAGGAAGTATACAAGTAATATATAACACTAAGTATATTATAATATTTGATTTATACATTCAATAAAATGTAGTGAGCTAACTCAAATAAATAAAAATTGTACGAATAAAAAAGTATAATATTTATAAATATGAATTCGAATAGGTAATTTATAATAAAAAAAAAAGCTGTTTGTATTTAATGGATACCTACATTTCAGTATAAACAATAAACAAATTCAAATAAAATTTGATTGAATAAGTTATATAAATATATAATATAATATTATGTAATACAGTTGATAATTGTAAAATCACTATTCTTTAGTTAGGTACTATATTTAAATTTAAAATCAGTTTTAAAAATGTTTTCTACAATAATATTTAAGTAAATACAATAATATAATTAAAATATTATCACCCAAAATTTGTGTTTTCATTCCCGAAACAATTTATTATCAGAATGTATTTTGTATTATTTTAGCTATCTAGACAGTGTTAACTTAGAAAAATTAATTAACTGATAAAAGAAATATTTGATTTTTTAAACAATCATCGAGTACCAACCTAGTTTGTATAGAATCATTCAAATTCTACGTGACATAATACATAGGTGGAGAGAATTTAACTTAACCTTTAAGAATCATTTTTGGAATGACATTTTAAAGACTATATTATAATATTATACAAATAATATTTGTTTTCAATTAATGTTAATCTAATAAATGTAACATATTATACATAATAGTTTCCTTGAACATAATTATACTTCGAATTGTACATGGGTAAAAATGTTTCAACCTCAAAGCGTCACATACGATAATACAATTTTCATACATAAAATATTGATGGTCATTACTTTTTACAGCGAAGATATGGCATAGTGACATAATCTTAAAAGAAGCGTTTTTAATAAAAAAAAAATGATTTAAATTTTCATTATTTCGTTCAGGCACTAGATATTCCTAATTATATTAAAAATTAATGTAGATAGAAATTGATTCAGTCAATATTATATGTTATAATTTAGGTATAATATTGTCCCATTAGATTGTATTTATTTATACACATACTTATAAAATAACTTTAGATTAGTATTAAGAAATACAGGAATCGACAAAAATATACTAGTATCACTATATCTATTATGACTATCTCTATTACACGAATGTTATGTCCCATTCGGAACCAATATTTTGAAGATTTTTTTAAAAACACAAGTTACATAATAATATTTAAAATTACCATTTATACTCGTACTATAAATTAGTTTTGTAAGAAGAAATTCATTTTTAAATACATTTGCTGAATTTATATGGTTGAAACTACGGGGAGCGAAGAACCTTTTTATTTTTAGATTATTCGTACTTTTATCTTTCGTATTTTTTTTTCATTTAAAGCAATCTTTTCAGTTAAAAACCACAAAAGTTTTTATGCAGCGTCTACCAAAGAAGACTTTAAATTGAACACAGATAGAACTATAAAAATAGTGGAAAATCTGAACATGAAAAAATATACATAGAAACACATGACGTCAAATATCTCAACCATTTTTGTTAAAACCAAATTCTGCTAAAAACTGAATACTATATAGAATTCCTAAATTATCTTTGTTCTAGCACTGGTCTAAACTTAAATAACTGAGGATTGAATCATCATATTTTAATTAGTACAAAACATTCTGTACAAACAGAAAAAACTTAGCATATTTTAGGTATGTGTTTGAGTTTTGTGATAATAATATAGTTACGTTTTTAAGATTTAAAACAAGATTTTTGCAATACATTCTGATAAAATAAATTAAAATCATAAATCTCATTAGAAAAATTATATTTTCAGAGTACAAAAATTTTAAATATAAATTAATACTAATTTAGTTTGTATTATGTTGATTGGATAAATAACTTTTCTTCTACGCTTAGGAATATCAATTTCCATGTAAATTTATAATTTCACAATCAAAAAATAATATTCATCCATTCATTATAATATATGCGAACACTTAGGGTTGGTTTTAACTAAAAATATAGAATTAAACGATTAAAGAAATATTGTATAAAATGTTTTTCTTTAAAAAAAAATGTTTTCATTACAGTTGTATAGCTTTTGAAAATGTTTTTAATTATGTTTAAATTTAAATGGAAAATGGAAAAAAGTAAACAAAGGTATAGCAAGTTTTAATTATTTTGACCATACAAATATTCGAATCTTTTAAAAATCACTATTAGCTAAATTAAAAATCGTATTCGTACGTAAAATATATTTTTTAGAGTTATATAAACAATGGAGTACACATTTCTAAGTACTAAATCATAACATTTAGTAAATTATAACATTATATCCAACAACATTTATTTAGTGTTTGAGGAAATAAAATAAAATACCTTTATTTATAAAATAATAGTTGATTTTATTTCTGTTTAGTACACAAGTCCCTATTACTATACCTATTATTATACCTCAATTTCCTAAATGTTACGAGTAATTTTTATTGAAACGTTAATAATAAGTATAGAAAAAGAAAAAAAGTTTACCAAATTCCTACTTATTGGAAATCTTAATTCATATTAAATCAAAAATAATTCTTTTAAAGTTTATACAATATGAAGCACATTGAATAAAAACGATCATATACCTAGGTACTATATTATGACGTATTAACCGAATCGATAGCAACAGTTAAAATATAACCTATGTGTTATGTTTTAAAATTCCTGCAGGAGTTGTTTAATATTAGACAATAATAATTTTATAGTTCACGTATACACGAGTGAACAAAAATATACGAAGCCATGTTGTAAACGTACAAAAGCTGTGTGTTTAAAAATAATGTATAATAATTTAGTGGATAATATACTTTTTCAAACTCAAATTATTCAAATTATTTAAATATATGAAATTCACGTATTCAACAGAATTTAATTTTTCAAAAATCCGATTCAAATTATTAAATAACAGTGATAGAACATAACAATATGTGGGGTGATAATATAAATATAATATAATATATTATACATAATAGTACCTATACTTAATATGTAACTGTAGGACGTAGGTATATAGATACGGTTTGTTTTCAAAAATTACATAGTAATTTCATGAATCACGCGTACTTGAAATTTAATTGTTTGTATCTGATAACTGAAAAGTATTATTATTCATGAAGGTTGTCAGAAATTGTCTGTGAAAATAAATTTACTAACGTTGGTTTTATAATAGTCATGCTGGATAAGTTCTTTATAGAGTACCGATTATCGGGTAAATCGTGTGTCGAGTTTATCCGACAAAAATATTATATCACACTATGCAAATATCATACAACGACCCCCTAGTCACCACAAAAAAATACAAATCATGCAGTTGCCGAAAACCCTATATGAATAAACATTTTCTCGGTGCGTTTGAATTCAGTGTATTTTTTTTTTCATTATTATTACTTTTTTTTCGTTATTATAACAAATTTATCATTGTTGTTTTTGGTTTTACGTTAAGAAAATCAAATATTGTCGTAACCTTTTTATCCGGGGAGTGGTTGTCTCAAAATGTAGTCGGTGTTTCCATATTTACGACGTCGTTAAATCCGATTCCGTTTTTTTTTTCTTCGACTAAGATTCTTATTATTATATACTTTTATTATTATTGGTAGTAGTAGTAGTAGTAGTATTAGCAGTAGTATTACTATTATTATTGCTGTATAATAATAAAATTACAATCGAAAAAAAAAACAAAAACTGTGGCACGCGTGCCGCACACCCACAAACACTCTTTCACACGCACACACACACACACACACACACACGCGCGCGCGCGCATATAAATACACGCACACCGTTCACACCGGGTTTGCGGCGCAGCAACCGCGTCCGCGCGATACCGCGTTTGATCGACTACTGAGAGTGTCCTACGACGGCGACGACGACGACGACCACTGCTATAATAATAATAATATTTCTACTCCGGTGGCGTCGTCGTCGGCGCGGTTGTTCAGCTCCGAAAGTGTGGAGCCGAGACATTGAAGAAGGTCGTGTACGCAACATCACGAGTTATTATAATATTATTATATTATATCAGTGCCTGCCTAAGTGTAATAATATCGTTTTGAAAATTACCACACGCATGTACGCAAAAAATGTTCAGCTACGTCCAACAACACGGTAACGTGGTTAATCGTGAGGTAACCTAACCCAACCAACCAATCACAACGAAGAATCTAAGCGAACTTGTAGGCATTGTGGAAACCCGCCTTTATCCGCCATATTATTTGAACCATAACAACGAAACCACAGACATATGACAATATTTTCAAACGAGGTTCGTTAATATTTATTATTGATAATCACAGTCTTTTGTGTAACCTGCCTTTTAAATGATATAGCTGAACCCCGACCTCGAGTCCTGATATACATACCTAATATAGTATCATAAAATAATAATTATAATAATAGTTCTGTTCGATCTCAGACATTAGCGAAAAAACACATAATAATTATTACAATATTATTATACATCGTTATATAGTCTTCAATCGTCATCAATCATCGACGTATTATTTCACGAAGTGTAGGTAACATTGCAACCATCATTATTTACTATTATATTTGTATCTTTTTAAGTCTCGCAAATAACCACGCTCATCTGTTTCCAGGAGGAACAAATCTCTATCTGATCTGCAGCAGCTGGTCTATCCACCATCGACCCGGATGTGTGAAACACACGTCCTCAACCAATATGCTACCATTCAGAAAAATAAAAATTGTCCCTCAATATAAGCCTATAGTAATATGGCATATAAAGTAAACGGAATTTGACGCTGATACTATACAAAGTGATTCAACCAGCGTGCTAACCCACCCTTCTTCTATTATTTAATAATACTTCATAATATTTATTAAAGTTTTGAATTTTGAATTTTGGAGTATACTTTAAAAAACATGTTTTCATAAAATACTTTAATTTTTAACCATTAAAACAACACTATTCTGAGGCGATACAAGATTATATTTTTCAAATGAAAACAACATCGCTTACATTAAATTGTAAGGCCAGTGATTTTTTTATGAAGCGCTTATTATTTTCAGACAATTTTTTTTAAATAACTTATAAAATATTTAAACATTAATATGAATTGCCCACTTCAATTTTCAAATCATTATACTTTACACAATAATAAATAACTCAGAAACAACTCGTCCCAATTTTCATATAGATAGGTACAATTATAGGTGCATCGATATATTTAAAGTAATCATCTGCTTAAATGGATTAAGTTACACGAACAATCCAAGAGTCTTAAAATATTAAAATTAGAAATACTTAAAAATGCCAATATAATCAGAACTTAAATAAACATTACATTATTGAAACAGAAAAGGGTATAAATATCACCCTGTATAATATGAGTAGGTACAGTGCCTACTCGGAATTCCGGAGTACAGTGTTTTTAGCCGCATTTGAAGGGAGCGCGTGGTTGTTAGTGCCGGGCGCCACCGGTCGTGCATGTCGTTCGACCGGAAACGAAATAGCTATTCTACGAAATAAGACCAGAGGGTCACAAGGGGTGAGGAGGGGGACCTGTTGGATCGTTTGCGTTGTTTAAACATCACCGAAACTCGAGAAGAATTGGGTTGATTTGTCATTATCTTCCACAAGTGGTCGTCACAACATAACGTAAACATAATATTATATATTAAGCGTTTATAGGTGCTATAAGTAGTAGGTAGTGTAGTTCAATTACTTACATATGTTATAATACGTTTTGTAAAAGGACTAACGGGAGTATAAAAGAAAGAATCAATATCTAGTATAGTAAAAACAAACCTAACCTAATAAAAAATAATGTGTTTATCTTCCATACATTAATTTATAGTAATAATATATTACAAATTATCTCCGGCCAACTAAAACAATTTAATAATGCACTTTTAACAGCGAAGACGACCACTGGCTCTACATTTCACCATGTAGGGGTACATTATAATAATATAGTTTATTTCACGTCTAAAATATTATATTATGTAGTCCACTTAAAAGTCGCAAAGACACTACTGTCGTTTGGACGGGAAAAGTTCTAATTCAAGATAATATATTATGGTCTCCTAGTTTCATACTTTATTTTATTTTATTTTATAACAGTTACATTACTGATTAGATAGACGGCCTATATTGAACTTTGATAAATGCCAGTACCTTTGATTGTCAATTCAAAGTTAAACGATACGAGGAGTACATAATATACTTAAAATATTAATAATTCAATAAACCATTTTCCAGAAACACCGTTGCTGTTTGGACACTAATCCCACTTATATATATTTATAAGCTCCCGGGGGTTTGAAATAAATCATAATTTTTTGAGTAACAATCAAATACATGATTTTATATAACATAAATATATATAGAGAGAGAGCCAGAAAAGCGATATTTACATTTTAAAACAATAAACTCTTGCAATAATCAGAGAAAAACAGTTACTGTGCAGAATCAATAGCTTTTTGCCTCGTTCATAAAATCATCGGATAGTTATGGATGTTTTAATATAATAAGAGAAAAATAAAGTAATATTGATACAAGTATAGAAAATTAAATAATGAAAACATTCATGATAAATAAATATTTAAAATCTGAAAAAAAGATTAAATTTATTACAAAAACAAGACTGCGAGGATTTCGATCTATTTCTATGTTTTAAAAATGTACGAAAAATGTTGTAATAAAATAATGTTTTTCAATATTTTCATTACAATATTGTATACTATAATATGACCTATATACCTAATAGATAGTTTTTAATTTACTTTACGAGTACACCTATACTACCTAATATAGCCATATGAGTATAATTCATTATTTTATAATAATATAAAAACAATGCAATGGATTTCATGCTCCTGTATTGTTATAAGAATATTATGATAGAAACTCAACTATTAATTATAGTTGTAAACTTAATTAAAATAATTAAATGTACACATATCAATTGGAATGCATACTACTACATACTATCCACAAATAATTTACGCTTTGTGTTGTACTCGTATATGAATTAATATTGTAATGTAAATTAACTTTATTCCTTCAACAATAATCAAACATAATAATATACAATTATTATAGTGTATATTGTAATAATATTACTATTGGATTCGCTTAATATTTACCAAAGGCTTTCGAGTAAGCTGTCTCGTACGTCAACTATGTTATGAAAAGTCAATGTTTTTATTATCCGTTCAAACACACCACAAAGCATAAATCAACATTAAGCACAACGCATTTCATGTTTATGTTCAATACATTTAATTCGGCATGTAGTAGAGGTAGCTATTAGAAAAAAATGAACTTGATAAATTATTCTCATTTATATTTTATTTTTTTTAAGTGATAACTCTAATATCTATTGCGTCTATGGTTACAACAAAAATAAAATAGATTAATTTTAATAAAGTAATCTTATTTAATATTAATTTAGAAAAAAAAACAATAAGGAATATTAATTTATTTTTTGTGAGATGAACCCGACTGATACAGTTAAGATAGTATAAAATTAGTTTAATAATATGGCAATTATTCGTTGAAATAGTCTTCGATTAAATGTATTATTTAAACAAATAAACTCCAACACTCCCCTTGTCGATCACAAATTCGAAAACCTTACTTATTTGACTAAAGAAGAATAAATATTTTGCTTTCGTATTCCCTTTGATATTGCAAATACCAAAAAAATCAAAAATTACAGCTAGTACAATCAAAAATTTAATACAATATATTTATTCGTCCCACACAGTATTTGCTTATTTTTATCAAATCATATACACTGTCAAGATAATAATATTACGTATGTACAGTACACAATAAAGGTACATAATATTATGATTTATTGAGCATTCGAACCCTCCAAAACGACATAAATGCATAGATCGTATGCCTGTGTATGTATTCGTGTTTGTGATAATATCCAATATTTGCACAAAACATTTGAGATTTAAACACAACGATAAAATATGTACCTGCGAATTATTGTGGGTAAAACATTACAATACTAATTTGGAAACAATCAGCGTATTAATTATTTTTAGTTTATATGTTTACTATGAAAACAACAATACTGTGTTATACACGTATACAATAGGTAGCTATCTATTACAATGAGAAGGTGTGATGAGTATAATATTGTATTACGAGTAGTGGAGCGAGGATGAAGTTGTAGTTTTATATACTATACATACTATATAGTGATACAGCCACTTCGGAATCGTAATAGTGATGATAAATGGAGAAACGCATAGCGTAGGTACATTATACATGTTGTACCGCGATAACAACAGATTCGAGAATTTTTCCATCACAACTGATGCACTTGAGAATTTCAAACAGCATTAGAATTATGAGCAATGATATCACATCAACAGTCAACAGACAACAAGCTCATTTAATTAACGGGCGCAGTCAGCTTCAATAATGGCGTAGGCACGTAGTAGATATTACCATTTATTACTCAATGATATTACTTAAATAATACTGTATAATAATTACAACCACACTGTCCAGTCAACAGGCGATTCATATAATAACGCCATAAATTCTAGGATCCACGCAAACATAATATACAATATACATAGGTATATATGTATAGACTACAAAATGTCCTTACGTTATAAATTAGAATTTATAACTGAACACATTATCGAGTAAAATTATCATACACTAACTACTAATGAAAGGTATGCGATTGTGCTCCAAATGCAGTTAGAACAGATAATATAATATATAGGTCATAAGTTTGTAACTTATAATGCTTTAATTGTAATAGTTTCGACAAAGTTTAATATGATTATTGCACATAGTACCTATTTAGGCGCAAACACCATAATTTGTTATAAGTTGAATAATTTATTATTA